TATGGGCACCATCTCTTCTTGGTTGAATATAAAGCAATTGTAACCCGGATTCCAAAATTGCACTAAGGCTCGAATCAAAGATTCATCAATCTTGACATAGAGCAGATGTGCAATATCACCGTACCACTGAAACAATCTTTGTCTTCTGTCATTTTTCCAGCTGTCCTAAATGCTACGTAACTCTTGAATATCGTTTTTCTTAAGGCTAATAGAAGCATAGCCAACCAGATCTGACACATAATTACTTTGCAAACTGTCCCCGTTTTCCTTCTAAGTCTTCTCTGCCATAGCCGGACCTCTGCATTTTCCACCTCTTGCATTACAACCCATTTGTCCATTAATGCAAATTATTTGAGTTTTAACAAACACTTTTTGTAGATCAACACCTCTTTTGATGATGCAAATTATCAGAATAAAAAAAGGAACAAAAATGAAAATGAAACAAGTTAGTAAAATAAAAATAATAATCGGAATGATAATAAAAATAAAGAATTCTTACCCCACATGTTTTTTCTTACTACCCGAACATGATTTTTATCCAGTATGTTAATTTTCTGAATAATTCCTAACATCATATATCTCTAATTTGTATGCCTTGAACAGAAAATAAAGCATGAAATAACTCAAGTAGCCTAGGTTTTGAAATGGAGTTTTGGGGTGGGCTCTAATTCCTCGCAACATCTCGGTTTAGGTTCTAGAAAAAGGTACCCGAGTTCTCCTTGCTGGTGCTCCCTTGGGCTTGCCAGACCCTAAGCCCTAAGCCCATTACAAGCTCATATGGACTGAGTTAAACTCGATAGGATACATTCCCTTATGTATGTACAGAAAATAAATTCACACGAAAACATAAGGTATATGAATCCCGAAGGTTACTTGCTATGCCTATATGAAGAATAAATTCTCACAAAAGCGTCGCTTTCACCTCCACTTAAAAAAGGTTTGGAGCTAGGGTATAAAGTCTGAGAGAAATTTTTGAAAAGCTGAAATCATTAAAAAAATCAATACAACTATTTATTTGAAAAATAATAATCAAAGGTAAATAAGAAGAATCGAAAAGATAAATTTAAATTTAAATTTAAACACAATTTTCATTCAAGAAGATAATCGGAAATTAATTTTAGCGTGATTCACTTACCTGTCCCCAGTGGAATCGCCAACCTATCGTAATCGTCCCTCAAGTGGGCCCAGAATTGGGTTCCCACTTAATTTCGATGTGATGGAGCAGCCACCGATCTTTTAAAATTAGGTCGATCGGATACCTTAATTTACCATTTTACTTAATCTGTGTTTTTACCATAATTGAATTGGATTCAGGAGTCGATTACAATTAGGGAAGGATTAGCACCCGTGTGTTGCCATTTTGATTCTAATTTAATTTCTCGGTTGTCTTAATTGTGAAAATTAAATATTAAATTAAAATTTAAAAGTTCGATCCGAATTACTTACCATTGAAGGATTTAAAATTGACCTAAAAACATAAATCAAATTAATGTTAAATAATAAAAAATAAATAAAATAAAGAATTAAAAGGAAATTTAAATTAAAATGTCCAAATTGAAAAGAATTAAAAAATCAATGATCAAATTGGAATTAATTAAAGACTGTAAGAAGAAAATAAGAAGTTAGGGGGTCAAATTGCATAAATATAAAAAAATATAAATAGGGATTAAATTGAGTAAATTCAAAATTTAAGGGGAAATTTACAACAGTCGATCAAAATGAATTATGCATCAAAACTATAGGAACTACGGAAATAATTTAAGAATTTTATATTTTCACAAAGGGCCCCCTATAAATACCCCCAAATCACAAAAAAAAAATATTTCACTCATTTCTTTCAAAATCAAACCCTTTCCCTTCTCTCTAAACTCTCTCTAAACTCTCCCAACAGGCCTATAGTCGGCCATCACTCCGGTGAAACCCCACCGCTCTGGCCACCGCCTCTGGTGGCCGAAAACCTAAAAACTTACCTAAAATTTCCCCCTCGACCCCGTGAACCTAAAATCGAGGCCCAAACACCCTAAAACACCCCCTCTGACATAGATCTAAACTTGAAATTTTGGTTTTTTTACCTTTTTTCGATGAGGTCTCTTTGTTTTCTCAGCGATTGTTCCTCCTTCAAGCCTATTCCGATATTAGCCTTGTTTTTTGTTGTAGCTTTTCCATGCTATTTTTGTGTATTTTCACTCGGTTGTTTCTGTAGATTAATGTATAATGGTTGGTGATTTTTTTGTTGTTTCGAAGCTCTTTTTTATGATGGTTTTTGTGTTTTTTTGTTAGTTGTCTTGGTATTTTTCTTGATGATCGTTCCTTTGTGGTTGCTCGTAATTATATAGCCCCCGATCGGGGCTATTTTCTACCATTTTCGAGGGTTGTTCTCTCTTCCCCATTTTACCCAGCTTGAGGAGGTTGTTGTTGACTAGCTAAACAGGATGGCGCAGTCCCGATTTTGCTGGGGTTCCTTTGTATGGCCGATTTTTCAATACTTTTCTCGACTTTGGTTGTTTCGTTGGTGCGTGGCTGTTGTAAGGCCGGTGGGTACCTTTCGGTTTTCTCGATCTTCCGTTGGATAATTTTGACTAGATCCAACGACTGTTACTCCTGTGCAGCGCTGGTGCTAGGGTTGAAACCCTAGCTATCTTCAATTTGGGTCGTTGATCTATCCTTGATCTAACGGTTGTGAACCATGCGGCGCCGCTAACTTATGACAAAACCTGGAGTGATGAGTTGGGTCATGCCCCCTAACCAGGCTGGCTTATTGGGTCTGGCTTACTGGGTCAGGCATGCTGGCTCGGTTGGGCTGCAATTTGGACTGAATTGGACCCGAATTTGGACTTGGACCTGGTAACAAAAAATAATATTCAACAAATAAATAATACTAATAAATATAAAAATAATATATAATAAAAACTATATAACATATATTATATTTTCAAAAACTATATATTATATATTTTTTCAAAAATCGTTTTCAAAAACTATATATATATATATATATATATATATGTTTTCAAAATATGTTTTTAAAACTATATATATTATAGGTTTTCAAAAATGTGTTTTCAAAACTATATAATATATGTTATCAAAATCGTGTTTTCAAAAACATATTATATATTCTAAAATCTATATATTTTATGGTTTTAAAAAATAATATTTTCAAAAAAGAAAAACCCAACATACTTGTACGGTAGACATTGATCTTTTGGTAATAAGGTTTGAGTTTTTGCAGTACAAAACGGCTAGAGAAAACCCAGTTTTTGTGTGGTGATCCATGAAGGATATCACGGATTCAGACAGCGCTGAAATAGCTTTGTAAAAACCTTAATTACCAGAGAAATGACAGCACCCTGCGACTATATCTATGGTCTATTTAATCATCTTGTTTCTACGTACATCGAACAGTGTTCTTATGTCTTGTGAAAAGGTCAAAATTCAATTAATGTTGACAATTAATAATCTTGTCGTGTTTTGTACACTAAATGAGTCCACGTACGTTTTTGGTTTTTACTCTTCTTCTGTTGATTAATAATGACAAGTTTTGGAATGATTGCTACCAACTTGAGAGGCAGAGCATAATACTTGGTGGGGATTAATTTGCTTTTCAGCTTATAGTACAGGGACCCTATAAGTAATTTAACCAAACTTACAAAGCTACAATCTTTAATATAATGGATCACTGTTTCCCCAAATTAGTACTCTTTCTTCTTCTTTTCGAAAAAAAAAAAGAAAAAGCAGCAGCAGTGGTGGCATGGAATTGAAAGTTCAAAGAGGTGGGGGAGATGCAAAATTGATACAAAGTTGCAGCAACTTTTAAAGAGCAGTGAATGATAGAAACGAAATATCAAATAACAGCAACACCTGTGCAGCTTTCCCATTAAATATTTGGGGGCCATAAATCAACATAAATGACAAAAGTTGTGTTGTCCGCAGTCCTAGCTGTCCCATGACTTGGTTTTTTTTAACCATTTATTCCATTACTGTGATGCATCATGATTTATCTCGGATATGTAATTGCCAATGTTCATTTCATTTGGGATTGAAAGCCAATCAACCAGGCTGGAGTGTCAAATCTGGGAGAATCCTGGCATGGTCAATAAATGATGTTTTACTCTTTATATCAGACTTCATATTCATACCTGTTGATGTCATGGATAGTGATGGAGGTTTCGCGCGGTGGTCGAAGGCCTTTGAAGGAAGCGTTGTGATGGGAATGGTGGACGAGGTTGGGATGAAGTTGAGTAGAGTAACAGTAGGTCTATATCCTTTCAGCAACGCCAGCTTCGGCTCAAACCTTCCTTGAGATTTTGGGTGCAGGTGCATGTCCATGTGCCGGTGACTTTTCTGGTGTTGCTTTCGGAGAGGAGGATTTTGGCGCAGCCGCGGACGACCTCGGCCCTGCAGCTATTTTAGCACTTCTCATCGGTGCAGGTGAAACTGCACCTTTGCCGACGACCGAATGGACTAAAAGGATCATGATCATTGAGATCAAAACAATGACCAAATGAATCTTTGCCATTATTTTATTTGTTTTTTTTAATTTTTTGTAAAGAGAATATTGTTTCGGATTTATTGAGTGAAATGGGATCGATATTTTGAGATCGAAATCATGAGAAATTTATAGCGATTCGGATGAGACATATACGGCGGGTCTACGGTGAAGCAGGTTACAACAAAACCGTTTCTTTTATATATTTGTTTGTTACATATTTGGAAAAATTCAAATATTCATGTTTTTTTTCTTATTATTTTAATTGTGTTATCAACAAAAGTAGAAGCTTTGTGGATGATTCGCCACCTATGAATTCACAGTCCGTTCCTCGAGATACGAAGGTCTAACTCATCAATGAATACATCACCACCACCTGCAAGTGTTTATTTGTCGATTTCGGAAGAGAGGTATATTGAGATGCATAAAAGGGTCCATAATTAATTAGATTAAAGTTTAAATTCAAATAAGATTACTCTTATTGTTTTTATTCGATTTCAGTACTTTGGCGTTATTAAAAGTAAGAATTAATAAATATAAACTTAAATTTCAATATTATACACCCAATTTATATACCACCTAAAATAGTGTGGAAGAAAATAATTTCTGGTTCTCAAAGAAACTAAGCTAGGCTTTCATTTGGAAAACTCTATTATACCAAACTGAATGCAGAATCATATGAAATATGTCATACTTTTCTGGTCTAGGATGCCAAAGAAAATGTTGTTGTACCTTTTTGACACTCAGCTGCATCTGCAGATATCCCTCTTCCGAGATCGACAAGAGGATCTTCTTCAGATTCGGAACATCCTTCTCCGAAACGAAGACGGCGAACGATTCCCAATTCAAGACCTCGAAAAAAGGAGGAACGAAGTTGTCAGATATGATCACCGGGACACATTCATGAAAAATGGCCTCCACCACTCGTGGACTGTTGACCTCGTAGCCTCTGGGACAAATGCAGTACTTGCTGCTCTTTATGTATTGGACGTAGTTCATTTTACCCTTACGGTTGGGCATTTGACCGAAGATTTTCATGTCGGGATCTTTGTTGTTTCCCCAGTGTTGTAATAGAATTGGCCTTAAATAACCATGCATGCCTCCAGCGAAGAAAGCTAGGATTGATCTCTTAGATGGAGGCTTGCCACCAAGGGATCTTAGAGGTTTCTGAGGATTCCAAATGATGGTCTCGGGAAGAGATGCATCCTTCCCAAAAATATAACCTTCTCTGAGATCGGAATTACAGAGGGCCCTTATGCTGTTGGCCATGTATTCCTTTGTTTCAGATGCTGCCTGACAAAGTAATGTTTATTAGAAGATAGTGTATGTTCAAGAATAAATGATTAACTTACTCCTAAACCTATAACTAGAGGGAAACAAAAATCGAAACAAGAACTCATACAGCCAATTGCAACTTGTAGAAGAGCTTAAGTGGTTCCAAATGCGAGGAAAAAGAGAAGTAAAAACCAAGAAAGCATGAAAATGCATACCCAATCATGGCAAGCAACCAGAAAATGATCAGCTCCTTCAGTTCTATTCCAGAAAGGATATTTTTCTGCAATCATGTCCACATACTTCTTCAAATACTCTATAAGGTTATCTTCATTGTGAGAATCAGGGACATATAGTGTTTCTTCTAACATTCTAGAACTAAAAGGTAAGTAAAACAGTAGGGCTTCTCTTGGTTTTTTGGTAACAAATTTTTTATTGGTGACCAGTTGCTTCATGAACCATCCTTCAGAGGCGTAAATACCCTTTAGAACTGGGGTATGAAATATAGGTCTTTTTCCTTCCTTGTAGACATATACTTTGAGTGTGCTTTCCATCAATTCATAGCTCCTGTAATTTATAATGTAATTTGTTTATACGTTATCCTCTTGAGTAGAAGTAACTTAAACTAATTCATGTTTCAAATATCATTGAAAAGAGCTCGGAATCTTTTCCGTACACTATGCGACATCTATCTTACTCTCCATTTACTCTTCTTAACTAATAGTATTCAAGCATGATTTCTGTCATACTCTAATGCTTTTATCCCTTCTACAAGACTACAAGAATTACTGATCTATTGATTTAAGATCCTTCCCTTCATCTGGATTTGATTGGCTACTTCCACTTCTCTTTGTTAACTTATTTCTTTCTTTTTCTTGTTTTTGAGTCCATCTTACCAATCCTAAACCAGAACTTGCTTGTGTTACTTTTTATTTTAATGATTAAAAACAAAAAAGAATAGAGTTCACAATATACCTTTTGAACATAGAGACATTCCGATAAAGAGGTGCATAAAGTTGCTGATCATTCTCTAAAATAGGTATATTCTCAATCTGCGATCTTGCATTTAATAGCACTTTGTCTGCTGCTGAAGGCCACCTAGGTGTCTAGAAAGAAAAATGGAGACAGAACAAAACATTGAAGTATATGAATAAATTCATTCATTGGGAAAAAATGGAAAACAAAATGTCTGAGCTTACCGTGGAATGATACGAAACACGACTTTGATAAAACAAATTTTTCATATCAGCTATCGTGGCTAGGGCAGATGGCATCTCAGGCTTTCTCTTCATCTTGGGTGTTTTGGGGGAATTATACTCATCACCCAATGAGGTGGAATTATTCTTAACCTCTTGGAATTTTCCTTTCTTGTCAAATCTTGGCGTCACGTGTTGCTCCACTGAAGATATACCGGAATTGACATGGACAACAGGGTTCCTAAAACTTGCCTCAGCATCTTTCTCTAAGGTATTTTTCATTGGTGAATTAGTGTCCCTTTCTTCAGCTTTGCTAGCCTTCTCTGAAACCGTATTATTATTGTAACCTTCAAGATAGTCTTCAAATTCCTCAGATGAAGACTCCCTGTGGTTATCTAATATAGAACTTTTCAATCCTACTTCTTCTGATATGAAATCAATACTCTGATCTTTCTCGTTTCCTTCATAGGTCTCAACATTATTAGCTTTTTCATTAACAGCACCTGCCCCTTCTGCTGTACTCTTGTTTTTGGAACTTGTAGCAAAATCCACTGCAGAATTCTTATTTAATTCTACCAATTCCTTAGTTGAAGACTCGTTTGGACTACCTTCCCCGAATGCAGAAGATATTTTCAAGCCCACATTGGTTTCTGATATAGCATCATTATTCAAATCTGTGTCCCTTTCTTCATAGATCTCATTATCCTGAGCTTTCTCATTACCGGCATATGTTCCCTTATAGTTCAAACCGATTGAATGAGTGACATTATGTGTCGTCACCTCTGACTCGGCAGAAGGCAGAGCTCCAGCTAAGAAACTATTTTGTTCCTCAACTGAAACCTTACCAGAAGGAAACGGTGTCGACAACACATTCCGGTATAGAACCTCAAGATACTGGAGTTTTATAATCACGACAAACATAATTCCTATAAGCAATATCAATTTCCTGGCATCTAACTGAAACCGAGATTTAAGTTCATGTCCCATTGAAAAACAACTGGACTTTTCTCAAATCAGTTCCAATGCTAAATATCATCAAAGCACAGTGTTCCTCGCTCCTTGAATTAAGTCAGAATGAAACTCCTTCATTAGTCCACGAACCTAATTCAAACTAAGTATAAAAATAATATTCAAAAAAAAAAAAGAACCTTATAATCATATGATCAGAATACCGAACAGGAGTTGAATCAATTTTAGCACTCAACGATGTAGAGAGTACAAACCATTCAAATACAGATCTAACGCCTCTCTTTCTATCAAACAAACATGAAGATCCAGAAAATGAAGGACGAATCAACGAAACAACCAGAAACACAAAATTCAACTAAGAGGAGAGGAGAAAGAATGCTTACGATTTTCGCTGGCCGAACTCTTACTCTTCAACTTGTTGTAAAAGGAATCTCAAATTCAGGAAATTATAAGAAGCTAGGAATCTTCTATAAGAGGTACACAGCTGTAAAACCAGTTGTAACAATCTTCGTCATCTTTCCTTCGTTTTGCTTTTGCTTTGATGAACTATTTTTTCCCCAAACAATGAAATGAAGAGAACAAAGGATTCAACGCAGCTTCCGTTTTACTGAAACTTTGGCTTTCCCAATATAATTTGGAAACAAAGAATCTCCAGCTAGGCTTTTTAGGGAAACTACTATAACCGCTAAGGTTTGAGTAAAAAAATAGAATCTATGGTAACTAATCATTTACTAAATGGTTCTAACAAAAAAAGGTCAAAAATTACAAATTATCAATTATTTTTATTAATATTTAAATTATAAAATTTTAAAAAATTAGTTGAGTTGAAAACTGTTAATGCATGGATCGGTAATTAAAAAGAATGTATAGTTCATAGCTTAAAATAAGAAAAATGATATTATAAGATGTTTTCGTTCTTTATCCTAAATTTTTCATAAATACATACATATTTAATGAAGTAAATCACATAAGACATTTTCACAAATTTTCTTAAAATAAAAATAAAATAAAATATCGACATTAAAATTACTCATAAACACTCAAGACTGTAATAACATTCAATTTTCGAAGATTTTGACGGACAAAAATAAAAGACCCCTTAACAATCCGTATTTAAAAAAAATACAGTGGCATTTAAATTATCAGTTTCCAGAATTTACCCAAAAAGCTAGCAATGAGTTTGGGTTTCACGATGCCTTAGGGAAACTTTAATAATGGGCCTATCGAACCTAATTTACTAACAATGATTTTGGGTTTCATGATGCCTCAGGGGAAAAGAGGGATAAAGCCTACGAACATTATCCGTCTCATTCTTTTTATTTTTTTTATTCGTTTTATAAATTTATAAGTGATTATCTCAAAATCAATTTTTATTAATAAAAAAACATGATGTCTTAATTGTAAAATAATTTCCCAAACCATACTGCTTTTTTTCCAAATAGGTGGCCAAACTTTTTTTTGAATCATCTAGGTGTATAACGTTACATACGTTACCATTTTAGGTGCTCGGACCGTAACTGCCATTGAATTTCACGTTCTGGTAATTTTAAAAAAATTTATTTTTAAAAAAATTAAAAATATCATTATATTTATAACAAACCTTATTTCTCTTAAATTACAAAAAAAAAAAAACAAATCCCTAACCCTAACTCAGCGATATCATCCTTACCGGCCATGGCCACGGCTACTATCGTAATCCTTGCCATCTTCCTAGTCATGCGTCATCGTACATGTCGTTAACTTGGCTATCAGGATCACGTGGTGTAACACTCATTTCCCGTATACGTCTCCGTACACGAGTCACAGATGTCACATGACTTTTAAAACAATTTCATACTTGAAAACCTGTAAAATTTTGTTTCTTTAAATAAACGGTTTAATAATATAGTTTATAAAACGTTATTCAACTATTAATATATAAAATAACATTTAGAAATCCATTAAACAGTAGTTTAATTTCAAACATAATATAATACTACAACCAAATATCAAGTATCTTATCAGAGCATCACAACATATCTAAGTACATGCCAACTAGTAATATTAAGATAAACATCTAGAGGTGTCATATTGTTACTGATGAGGCAACCCTTGACAGATGATATCAGTTGCACTCCTCACTCCGATTCGTACACTAAACCTACGCATGAAAATCATTACACTCTGAGTATTCACTTAGTAAGGCATAATAAAATAAATAAGACATTTTAAAAACATGAGTAAACCATTATAAGATCAAAATACGATTTATCGTATAAATGCATAAACTCATAAAAAGTGACTTGATAAGCCAAGTTTTTGTCAAATAACCTACGAAACGTTATCTCATATGCCCAGCATACTTAACATACAGTGTAATCCAAAATATCCATTTTCAGGCCAATGTATGATAGATAAGAATACAAGGTACATGAGTTGCACAAAAGTGCTAAACGAAAGTATAGGTATTGTAGTAACAATGACACTATACTAATATATCGAAATGGTAATTCACAAACTCATTATGAATACCATGTATGCACACATGGTGTCGAAAGTACACAAAGGTACTGATAAGAAAATGCAACATATGCATTAAACAAAATCGATCGATAACCATCATACTCCAAGTATGTCAAAATGCACCTATGAATCTCAATGAACATACAACAAACCTTTAAATCAAATTCGCATATTAAACATTTATTCTAAAACATCGATAGCTATTAAAATAATTAAAATAATATAAAAGTTCATTCATCTATCTTAGGGCAGTTCATACCCTAAAATTATTCGTAAAATCATTTTCATAAACTTTATGAAAATATTTCAAAATAAGGTAAAACATGCTTTTATAAAAACATTCGATGTTGACTCATCGCAAGTCATCCTCGTATCATATAAGTACATAATAAATGCACTCACCTGGTATGACTCACTATTATGCCTTACTATTGAAATCCTATTATTCTTGAACTTTTTCATACCCTTTCGCTTTGCTTGTATCACGAGTTCGGTCACGATCTACACGAGCATCCATACAAAACATATACAAATATAAAATACATGTTAGTATTCTTACTAACATTTCATACTTAATAATAATAGTCTAAAAGTATTATTATTTTTGAATTCTTCTAAAATTCATCTTAACTTTTCTTTTTTATTCATATTGAGCTTTTGTCATTAATTCTTCAATTCAAGACCCAAATAAGCCCAATAATTTCCAGAATTAAACTTTCAGCTCAAATACCTCAACAATGCCATATTTACCATTTAATACACTAACTTTCTCAATGTTTACCATTTAGCACTCAAACTTTGTCAACTTTCCAAAATGACTAACTTCAATTTCAGTCCCCAAATAGTAATTTTCATCATAGTACAACAATTATTGAACAGTTATACAACAACCCATAATTTTTTCATAATTATCTATTTGGTCCCCTCAACTTTCACAAAATTACATATTGGCCCAAAAAAAATTCTAAAGCTTGTAGATCCTTTCTAATATCATTTCTAAGCCACATGAAATTTTTCAAAGTTTTCCCCATCATCTTTCTCAAGGTCGAATGGTTTATGTACCCAATACTAGGGTTTTCATGGTTTTACTCGACTTTGATTCGATTCAAGCATGAAATCAACCTTGATTCAACCTTATACAATCACTACAATCAAAGCCCTAATCAAATTTCATCATAACATAAACTTCCTCCTAGATTAGGCTTAGGCTGAAATAACCCATAGCTTATATAGGCATGTATAATTTATTTTAATCATAAATCATGCTTGGAATTGATTCTACAACCTCAAAAAAAAAATCCTTCATCAATTACATAAACCTTAATGTGAACATAAACCATATAATTTGGGATATTTGAACACAAACCAAATTAGCAAGCAATAAAGATATCAAATGATAGCGTTTTTCAAAAAGAACAATTTTCTATTTCAAGGCATTATCCAAAATCCAAATGAAATTGCTCAAAAATTGAAAGAAATTTTTCTCTTACCTTAGATTGGGGTAAATAGCTTGGTTGCTGAAAAATGGCCTAAGTTTTTATTGGTATTTAAGAAGCTCAAAGATCAATCGAAGATTGTACCAAGAGGGGGTGAATTGACAATTTAAAGTTTAGGGAGTAAGGAGTAAAAAGATAGGAAATTTGCACAATGATTTATAGTGGATCGACTTATCAGCCAAGTCTACATCCACTACCTAAGCTCCTCACTTAGGATTTTCCAACAAAATCACTAATTTGTTCTTTCTTTTTCAAGGATCAAGAGTAACATTTACAACTCCCTATCTTTTCAATTGGCTAAGATATAACCAAAACCCCTTTTACAAAAAGAAAAAGATGTAAACAAGGAAACCTCTCTAAGGTAGGTGTTTACAAAGATTAGGCGCACTAACCACTAATATTTACAAGAGAAAGGAAAAATAGGAATAAAAAGCTCTTTTCTTGTGTTTGATTTTTTGGATAGGTGTTCTAACCATTCTTCAAGTGTCCTCAACTTGTTTTTATATGTTGGAATGTGTTTGTGGCCGTTTCTAGCCGTTGGGGATAAATTCTCTACAAAATAAAACTGCCTAGGACAGGGAGTATCGGTACTCCTTTAATGAGTATCGATACTCCTTTAATGAGTATAGGTACTCCTTTAATGAGTATCGGTACTTCCTTTATAATTTTTAAATAAACTAGTCGTTACCCCGTTGGGCCTGACCAGTATCGATACTATGCACATGGTATTGATACTACTGTGTAAAGTAGTATCGGTACCCTCATGGGTATCAGTACCTATTTTGCATTCTAGAATTTGAGCTATTTGAAAAACATTGGTAGTATCGATACTACCTATTGAGTATCGATATTTCTCTTGCCTTTGGTATAGGTACCACGTGAACAGTATCGATATTGTTCATGCAGTATTAATACTGTAAGAACAGTATCGATACTACGTACATAGAAAAGCATTTTGAGCTCAAATTCGGTTTTAATGGACTTTGAATTATTTTTGAAAACTTTGAACAAATTCAATTCAAGTCCAAAAAACATTTTGCCTTAATTTGTTATATCAAAATATTATAAAACATGGTTCAATAATCTCCCCCTTTTTGATATAACAAAACATTTGAAAATTTGTTTTTGACAAAACTCCCCCTTAATAAAATATTTTATGAAAAAGAGAAATATTTGAAAAATATTAAAGCTCCCACTTTTTCATTGAGAATTGAATTTTTCAAACCATACTTCTTCCCCTTTTTGTTATATCAAAAATAATTCAAAATTTTAAGTTCAAAAATAACAATGGAGAGTAATTAGTAAATTTTACATTAAAATGATTTTAAAACTCAAAGCTACCCTTCAATAAAATCATTCCAAAAAAATTTAGCTCAAAAGCTTAGACAAAAAAAAAATTGAATTTCAACAAAGATGAACATACTTGTTAGTAGCACATGAAATTCAATATATCCAAGTCTAATAAACTTTATGCAATACCAATTGTTGAATTTAAGTGCATGTGCATAAAGTTATCCAAAAATGTTATACATTTGAAAAATTGATATCAATTGTTAAAGAGATATCATTTGCAATAAATCGCATGCATAAACAGTGT